ACAATCCCCATACACATGCTAACACGGAGCAGCACGAATGCTAAGAAGGGCACAGACACACTGTCCTTAGGGTGGTGGAGCCAAAAAGCCCAAAACGTCAATCAAGAGTGCTACAATTCAATTTCCAACACAACCAGCTGCCTCTTTAGACAGGAACACATTTACAACCACAGCTCCTTTAAAAAGGGACAATTTCATTATTGCAGCAGACTTAACAAAATCATTGTAGGGTTTGTGGATAACCTTATGCAAACCACTTTACAGAATGTCCCCTGGTCTATCCTCTGTGGAGGATTTCATTCAGATTTAACGGCCCTCAAATGACACGTTTGAGTCCTGGGAGGGAAAAAGCAGTTCATGTAACACTGAGAAATGAAGAGCGAGGATATCTGCGGGAAAGAGAGTGATCGTTCTTGAGTGACAAATTTCCAAAAACTAATGACGGCTCAAATCAAGCTCCCATTAAATCAAATTACAGGCAGATTATTGTATGGTCTCTCGGGTGGTTTCCCTAAATGAGGCTGTTACACACACACACACACACACACACACACACACTGAGATGAGCTGGAAGAAATGTGTCATTCTTTTGGTGGCTCAAAGGGAACACAGTAAATACCGCCTCGAGCTCGCACAGAGATGTGGGTTATGGATTTAATGGACAAATGTAAATGAGCTTTTTAAGCATTCATTTAAACTTTGAGCTCAAATATATTGGAAGAAACAGTTTGGTATTTCGCATATTTATAAGTTCAGACGTACCAGATGAGTTCAAATGCGCACATTTACTCTACCACACGAGAGACACTATGTTTGGGAATCTTAAACGAGCTGCATTGAGCACAACATGAAATAGAAGGGACATTTATTCGCACACTCCCACACATTTGTGAATAACTTTACTTCCAGGCATACTGTCCAAGCGCACACAAAAGGCAGCGGTATGTGCTCAAACAAACGCTGGAGCCAGACCTCCTCCGAGGACGTGAGGCCGTGTGCCAGACTGCCAGTGATGCCGTGTCAGATTAAGGAGACACAGGCTGCTGCTGCTGCTGCTTCCCACAGGGCCGAAGGCAACGAGGCCGGAGAGCTGCAGGAGGTGAAGCTTTTGCCGTTGCTTGCATGCTGGCAACATTCAGGAGAAAACAATCCCAGCACTACACGGAACCAGGAAAAACTGTTGCCATTAAATCTGGGACAGGCTCAAAAACATGTTGGCATCATAGGGCAAAAATATTAGAATTACTTTTTAACATATACAGGAATTTAAGGGGTACCCCAAGGGTAGGCAGTTTTCTGGTAAAAGCATACAAAAACAGAGCCGAATTTGAAAACACTGTAATCCTGCAGCCCTCCTCTCACCAGACCAACACCGTAATGTGCTTCACCGTCCTTCATACAGTAACTCATTCACTTCAAACAACAAAGCAACAACATTGGCAAAGTGTTTCAGAGACGGGAGAGAGAATGTTGAAAGTTGTTTAGACGTCTGCTAACAGTAGCCGGGAGCAGATGACTAAACTACCAGCACTGTATTCCCTCCGTCTCCATAAGGCTTCACAGACATTGTACCCTTTGATAAGTTGCGTTGCTCTGCAGTGCAGGCAGATGTTGCCACGGCTTGAATAACAACTTTTCCTGCAGGGTATCCAGCCGTTAAATCAGACTTTTTAACCCGAAGAGATGTGGTCGCACATCTTTATTAGTAGAACGGCCAACACCCTCTCTCTCTCTCTGAAATGACCTGTGATTGGCTCCCGTCCACGGGCTAGATTGTTGTAGAGGAGGTGCAGAAGTCCACTTGAATTACAATATTCTGTGAACTTTCAAAACGGACAGTCTGACATTCACACCCTCTTCACTCTGTGATTGGCCAGCTGTGTGGAGGTCAGAGAGGAGCCTGGACTTCCCATTAAAGCTCTGTGTAAACGGGAACACTTTGACTACCGTGACGTTTATGTAATTCATTCACCGAGCGTGACACAGCTCTGAACTCTCGTTAACCATTCTGACTCATCAGATAAGATGCGACTCCGCAGCGCACTGGGAGAGGCCCTTCCACCTTTGAGCCACCGCCTTCAGTAACCTTTGCAGTCACTTGGAACAAAACTGCACACTCCTAAAAGAAAGGTGTATATCCAGAGACTACAGGTTTTTTATGTACAGTTAAGACTTTAGCGCATAGGAATGGATGTGAAACTTCGTTACTAACCTGAACCTGGCAGCGAAGGCCTTCTTTACTTAATCTTTGATCAGATAGCTCTTGTTTTAAATCAAAACTGTGTCAGTTTTTGACTATTACATATAGGCAACACTCTTTTTTTGGTTGTATAGCTGCACTGGCCTCTTGGGGGAGTGTTGGGATCAATGAGACAAGAAATATGATCCAGAAAGTCCAGTTGGAGCAAAAGATGAATGTGTTTAAAGGCGTGTCCGATTCAAAAACACTACACTAGTGGTTTCTCATACTCGCAGGACTGTACAATTCTGGGAAGTTACTACAGAAGCAACTGTTTCATGTTTCGTTGCATTGCCGGGTCCAACTTTGACGGATGACCCTGTAGAGAGGGAGTGCCAATGCAAGGCGGGTCCGGCAAAACAACATCCATAAAAACAACAACCTGGCTCTGCCTACGTTCAAGCGCAATGAGACGCCATCCTGCAAGGAGCCAATCAGATATGTGGAAGCACACCACCCGTTCACCTCTCAGTCTGAAGATGAAGTAGTCAACATCGTGACATCTTTCCAGAGTTGTAAAAAAACGTGTCTCGCGGTGCCCTCGTTTTCAAATGAAGGGATATTTTCGGTCTCAGTTGAACCTGTTGAACCTCTGACCACATTCAAAAATCACAGCTGAGTTTAGTCGGTTTTACTGTGACCACACCCCGGCTGTGATATAGCGTGGCACCATGGTACCACGCTATATCACAGCTGCACAGGGAAGGCCAGATGTACAGTATATCTCAGAGTACTACTACCATCGTATCTGCAGCAGTATCAACGCTTTTCAAATGATACTCAGTCGTATTAGAGAGACACATGAAAAGTCAAAAGCAGGGCAGAAGCTATTTTGTCACAAAACATATTGCTTTAGACTGTGAAATGGTGAAAGAAGTATCACAATGTCTCAGCGCAAAAGTAACATCTTCAATAGTTCTTGTCTGCCAAACAAAAACTCCAAATTCGGCGATATGAACCACAGAAAAGCAGCAAGTCTCACATTTAGGAAGGAGAAACAAGTGAATGTTGGCATCACAAATGACTTAAAGGATTCATTGATCTCTATAATGTTTTACATTGATCCTTTCAGCGCTACAACTAAAGGTACTTAGGAGGCTGTAACTCGACTGCTCAGAGTTTTTCTCACATGCCTTTGCACAAACAGCAGCATGTGAAGTCCACAAGCCGAACTTGCTCGTGCTACGAAACACCGATCGAGTGCATTAAGCCTGAAAAGCTAAGTTGACAGACTCGCTCCGCAAACACCGGCCACAATCACAGAGAGCCCAGGAGGTACCAGGGGCCGCAGAACCGCCACTGAAGCCCAACTCCGTAATTGCCCTGGCACGCTCTCTGAGGCGCAGCTCGGCCTTATCTTCAGGGCAGCCTGCCATCTCTGCCAATCACAGTGAGTGGAGAGGGCCAGCGGGGGTGGTGGTGGGGGAGGAGAGGAACTTCCTTCCGAATCCATTCATGCCATTGAGGCCACCTGCTGTGCCTGTCTATGAGCTAGAGTGACGCTGGGATAGAGAGAAGAGAGAGAGAGGGCCATCTTCAAGCAGTAACACAGAAGAGCTCTTCTTGTTTCTCCGTGGCCACATCGTTGACCGACGATGTCTGAAATCTGATTCTACTTTTGTGAAAAGGAAGAAACACAAAATGCGAGAGCGTGGGGCGTTATGACTTTAACCTTTTTTGCTGTCTCACAACAGACTGGAAGCTTTTAATCAGCAGACTAACGATTCTGCAGAGACACGTTCGTTCCATGAGGACACTTGAGGATAATGCGAGGATCTTTAAAGCCTCCAGTTAAACTCAAGTCCCTGAACCCCGGCCAGCACCACCTGTTAGCGCTCCTCACTCCTCTGCCAACAGCCCACTCCTTTCCAGCTGTGTGTGTGTGTGTGTGTGTGTGTGTGTGTGTGTGTGTGTGTGTGT